ACCTAGAGCCTAGAACAGGGCTGGGCAAACTTTTTGACTCGAGGGCCACAATGGGTTCTTAAACTGGACCGGAGGGCTGGAACAAAAGCATGGATGGAGTGTTTGTGTGAACTAATATAAATTCAAAGTAAACATCATTACATAAAAGAGTACGGTCTTTTTTTTTTTTTTTTTTTTAGTTTTATTCATTTCAAACTGGCCGGATCCGGCCCGCGGGCCATAGTTTGCCCACGGCTGGCCTAGAACTAGAGAGGGGTGAACAGTCTAATCCAGGATTTCTCAACCTCAGCACTATTGCCAGTTGGGGTCCAGCTAACTCCTTGTGCAGGTGTCTTGTGCAATGTGGGATGTTGGCAGCATCCCTCGCCTCTACCTACCAGAGGCAAGTAAACTCTCCTTTCAGTGTGACAGCCAAACGTGTCTCCAGATATGGCCAAATATAAAGCACCTCTGGCTAAGGACCATAGGGTCCAATCTTTTTCCTTTCTCCTAAGCCAACACATGGGTCTCAGCTGACCACTCTGGTGCGAGGAAGGACTGAAAGCCCCAAGCATTTACCCTAGTGCTTAAAGCCAGCTGGCGAACCAGTCTCCTTGGCAGTAATGTGGAAAGAGGCCAGAGGGGAGGGAGAGGAGAGAAAAGGGATGCCTGGATCCTCTCTCAATAGTCTTCCCCTCATGGAGCCAAACCATGGGGCAGGGCAGGGATGGAGTTGGTCATCGGCATCATGGGACCAGGTCTCACTCTCTCCCATACTACCATCTCTCAGACACACACACACACACACACACACACACACACACACACACACACCCCTCTGCCACTCTGTATTGGCTCTATTCTCTCCCTGTGAAGACAGGCTTTCTCCAGAGATGAAAGATAGCTGAGTGCAGGATGAGAAGGTTAATAGTGGGCTATTTTAGACCAAGAGGTTTACAAGCAGTAACACGAGGTTATAGGTATCAATGAGGGGGGACTGGAGAGGTATGGAGAGCAGTTACAGCGTTTGGACAGGTTCAAGCCTGGGACTAATGAGAGGGCACAATCCTCTCGTGGCAAAGCCACGTGCAAGTCCCAGCACAATTACAGCCAAAGGCTATAGTTGTAAGCTTGACCTTATGGTCCGAACCTCTGGTCCCACGTGGCTGAGTGATATGGGCTGGGGGAGGTGCAGCAAGTAAACAAAGCTTGATCCGGTGCATGTAATTGAGTACACTGGAAACTCACGAGAACGTTGTGACCATGCCCTTACTTTGCCTCGTGGAAACTGGCTATAAAATAAAGACTCAGCTTGCAGGCCGTGGCGCTGTTTCTCCCTCAGAGAGCAGTGTCCCACCCAGCCTCGGCTTTTTTCTCTTGTCTGTCTTTTCTAAATCCTTCACCGCCCCCTCTCAGGTTCACCCATGGCCGTGCCGGCTCGGCACAGTGGGGTCCAGACCAGAGGTGGCAGTACATGAAGCCACGAGGGACTATGGAGCGGGAAGAGGACGATGTTTGAAGACTCAAGGTCTTCACTGGATTGAAAAGCAGGAAGGAAGAGAGTCAGAAGTTAGGAAGTCGTCCACTAATAGTCTCAACCTTCACCCCAGCTCCATGAATGTCTGTCATGCTGCAGAGACACAGATTCAAACAATCACAGGCTGTTAGCGCTTGAAGGAAACCTAGATACCATTTAGTCCAGTGGTCGGCAAACTGCAGCTCGCCAGCCACACATGGCTCTTTGGCCCCTTGAGTGTGGCTCTTCCACAAAATACCAACTTCTGTGCATGGGCCACGAAGTTTCAATCGCACTGTACATGTGCGCCCGTACGTGGTATTTTGTGGAAGAGCCACACTCAAGGGGCCAAAGAGCAGCATGTGGCTCGCGAGCTGCAGTTTGCCGACCACTGATTTAGTCCCGTCAACTCCGTGCAGGTTCTTTGATCCATCAGCTTTGGGATTTGGGGGTGATATTTACTCACGATCTTTCCCTTATGCTTGAAATCAAATGAGAAATAAGATATAGAAGTCAGACAGCTAGAAATCAAGATAGCTTTATAACACGTGAAGCTGATGGGAGGATTTGGTTTAGGATGTATAACAATCGAGCTTCCCAATTCCCCCCTAGAACCAAGCTGATCTACTTAGCACTGGAAGACTCCCTACCTGGGTCAGAACCTGTCCTGGGTAGTTTACTGCAAAGAGAGGGGGTGAGGGGGCAGCTCAGGCCTTCTCTGGGCAGGTGGTTCTCAGGAGGAGTCATGGCACAGGACCATGGTGTTCCCCCAGATTCCTCAAACACACGAGCCACTCACCCTCCACCCGAGAGGGGAGTAGAGAGTACTTTTCTCAAGACGTCAGAAAGGACAGAAGCTTCTACTTAGTAGGGAAGGGAAAGTGCTTGGGGAGAGGGGAGTTCCCCATGACAAGCCACTATCTATTTTTTAAAATATATTTTATTGATTTTTTACAGAGAGGAAGGGAGAGGTATAGAGAGTTAGAAACATCGGTGACAGAGAAACATCGATCAGCTGCCTCCTGCACACCTCCCACCGGGGATGTGCCTGCAACCAAGGTACATGCCCTTGACCGGAATCGAACCTGGGACCCTTCAGTCCGCAGGTCGACGCTCTATCCACTGAGCCAAACCAGTCAGGGCAAGCCACTATTTATTAAGTGGGAGCTCTGCTCCAGGGTCACACAGCTCTGGGGACAGAATAAGGTTCACTAGACTCCTAATGTGGAGGCTTTCCCGTTTTATACTTTTATGTACTCGCAGCAGGTCACATGAATCTCCTACACCAGTGATGGCGAACATATGACACGCGTGTCAGAGGTGACACACGAACTCATTTTTTTGGTTGATTTTTCTTTGTTAAATGGCATTTAAATATATAAAATAAATATCAAAAATATAAGTCTTTGTTTTACTATGGTTGCAAATATCAAAAAATTTCTATGTGTGACACGGTACCAGAGTTAAGTTAGGGTTTTTCAAAATGCTGACACGCCGAGCTCAAAAGGTTCGCCATCACTGTCCTACACCATCATTTAAGAGGTCTTCTCATCTCTTCCTCCACCACCACCACTACCTCCACCATTTCTATCTTCATCTCACCACCTCCAGCTATACTTCTACCACCTCCATCTACCCCTCACCACCTCCATCTACACCTCACCACCTCCATCTACACCTCACCCACCTACACCTACACCT